TTAAAATGAGAAATAAGACCCATGGGTTTTATTCATGCAAAGGACTACCAAACAGAGGGAAGATCCATCTATGCAGAGAGGGCCTGGGAAGCAATGGTGTGCAGCTGAGGAAGCGAAGGTGGACCTCCTCTCACTTTAAAATGATGTGGTTCTACGTCAGGACAACTTGGGCTCCTTGGTTCCTGGAAACTTTTTGTTAAATAGAGCAGAGATTTGACTTGAAATGGACATCAGACTTGAATGCTTCTGTATGGTCCACTCGGAGCACCAATTAGTTAACAGTCCAGAAGGCCCCGTTTTGTTTTTAGAATGTGTCTTACTGTGGTGTAACTCCAAAACAGTTAACCATTTTACAGTAAAGACTTCAGTGGCATTCATAATGTCCACAACATTCCCATTCCACCAAAAAGAAAAACATACCAGTGCCTCCCCCTCGTCTCCTCCCAGCCCTTGACATCCAGGATCTGCATTCAGGAAAACCATCATCTGGGTTGACCTAGTCTGGATCTTTCATAAACATGAAATCATAGTAAGTCACCTTTTGTGTCTGGCTTCTTTTACTTAGTATACTTTCAAGGTTCATCCACATTGTAGCATGTTCAGCACTTTCTTTATTCTTTTTATGACTGAATATTCCATTATACAGATACATCCATTCATCTGTTGATGGACTTTTGGGTTGTTTCTACTTTTTGGCTATTATGAAGAATGCTGCTGTGAACATTCATGTACAAGTTTTTACATAAATGTTTGTTTTATTTCTCTTGAGTCTATATCTAGGCGTGGAAAGGCTGAATCATAGGATCTTAAATATTTTGAGGAACTACCGAACGGTTTCCAAAGTGGCTACACCATTATACAGCCATGTATGAGCTGAACTATTTATTACAGTTGGAATATGTTTGAATAGTTGTTGTTGTTAAGTTGGTTCCGACTCATAGTGACCCTGCACAGGGTTTCCAAGGCTGCAAATATTTATGGGAGCAGAAAGCCTCATCTTTCTCCCGTGGAACAGCTGGTAGTTTCAAACTACCAACCTTGAGGTTACCAGCCCGATTCGTATTTGAATAGTTACAACCACTTTTAAAATGACTATTTTCCTTTTGCCCAATCTGAAGTGGCTGTTTATAATGACTTTTTTCCCCCCTTTCATATGCATGTCAAGGTAGGAGAAAATGGATTTCCTTTTTCTTATCATTTGTTAAACATCATTTTCTATGCTTATATATTTAAAATTTACACAATACACTCCTAGTGTAGTGTATACACATAATTTATTTAAATGATGACAAATAGAGGAGCTTGAGGTTGAGGAAGTTTTGAAAAAAGTATTTTTAATCACAACGTGTTCACCCAGTAGGAGCATTAACTGACAAATATCACAGAAAGGAGTTTTCAGGGCTTTGTACAAATTCCTTGAGTGAGGTGACAAGGACTCTGGGAGCCTCCTGGCCCTCTAGTCTCTCTTCCTGGGTTCCATGAGGTTCCTCTTGTTGAACAGGCCAATTGGTTTACCAGCAAGTCATGTGAGAAAACTGTAACGTCAACGAGTCCACCTCAGTAAAGACTTCAGCGCCCTTATTTCCTTCCATTCACACCTAACTCCTCAGCTCAGGAACCGGCTCCCACCTCCCCCAGTTTGGGTCCATTCACACCCCTGCTGATGTCTGTCTCAGCACCGACACTGTTTGCTCAGCAGCCATGTCATCTGACAGAGATACAGGGCGGGCAGGACTGAGTTTTAGTCTTTTGTGCCCCTGACCCCTGGTACAATGCCTCACCAGAGTACACACACAGTACACCCTCATTCAGCAACGAATGGTTTTCAGAACAAGGGCAGCCTGCCTTAGGTCAACCAGATGGACAATAAGCCCTCACATGGTGATTTGCCTTATGCCAGTCCCTGCGATGACTGGTTTACATGCGCGAACACATTGAAACCTAACATCCACTCTATAGGAGATGCACAGCTGCTACCGCCAATGAAGAAATGAAATCCTGAGAGATGCATGATGTGCCCCACAAGTCACATAGGGAAACACAGGAGCTCGAAATCCAATCAGATAGAACTTCAATTCCATGAAGGCAGAACCACCCCTGTACACGCACGGACTTACATGTACAGCTGGAGTCCAACAACTGTTGGCCAAATGAAATCCTCAGGAGCCAGGACAGAGACTGCCTGTCCACAGCTATGGTGGGAAGGCGATCCCTGATGGCTCATGTTCTTTGATGCTTCTCGTCGCCCTTCTCCCCACATTCGCTCCAGCCACAACTTGGCACGTTCATCTGTCACCCACATGAGAAGAAACCCAGTATGTAAAAGGGGAGAAGAGTCAGATGAACACAGGAAGGCCACTCTGTGTGGCAGGAATGGACCCACACAATGGCTAATTTATTGGGGGCTCACTGTGTACCAAGATATTCCTTTTTTGATTTCCACAGCTTTCATTGTGAAGGCATTTCTCACCATTTTCAAACTGACCTAATGACAAGGCCTCAAACATTTTCTCAGCATTTAAACTTCAGTACCTGCTAGTCTCAAAGAGCTCTGATAGCTTAGTGGTTACGAATCGGGCTGCGAACCTTAAGGTCAGCAGTTCAAAACTACCAGCAGCTCTGAGGGAGAAAGATGAGGCTTTCTGCTCCCGTAAAGATTTACAGCTTCAGAAACTCTGTACATTTTACAGTAAAGGGTCGCTATGGGTCGGAACCGACTCGACAGCACTTAACAACACCACCTGCTATTCTCATCAACTAGCGTCTGTTTGGTAACAATCATGAACATGAAAAATGTCCAATTGACCAATGCCATCTTACTAAAAAAACACCCAGCCGCCAAACCCACTGGTATCTAATTATTCTACCTCACAGCAGTCCTGTGTAGTTTCTGGGGCTGGAAATCTCTATGGGAGAAGTCTGCTTTCTCCTGCAGAGGGGCTGGTGGGTTTGAACTGCTGATCTTGAGGTTAGCAGTCCAGTGATTGCTTCAAAAAGTTCATGGAGAAATGGAATTAAAAGATAATGGAATTTTACCATGAACTTTTGAACCTCCTTGTATTTTTAAAATTTAAACAAAGAAAAGTCTTACCCACTTTCCAAGAGCTTCTTCACATACTACCTGTCTAAGACTTCCCAGGTCAGGCCTCAGAATGATCCTTTCGTCCCTCTGCACTGATGGCCTACGGGGAGGCACGCATTGGACTCTGCCCGTCAGAAAGTGTCTCCATCCCGGATCTTTACCTTCCTGAAACTCCTTTATCGCGTTGCTATTAGTACTTTCAAGCCGATTTTGACTCACAGTGACCCTGTAAAGGGGTTCCAAGGAGTGACTGGTGGATTTGAACCGCTGACCTTACAGCTCTGACTCACAGCAACCCTTTATAGGGTTTCCAAGGAGCGGCTAGTGGGTTAAACCACTGACCTTGTGGTCAGGTGCTTTATCCCACAGTGCCACACCAGGGCTCCCCAACTATCTATCTAGTAAGCACTTAGTAAACAGCACCGACCCTGCCGTACTGCCAGTGCTGCTAATGGACAAGCAGCCCAGCCCAACCCCAGGCAGCCAAGACCTAGGTATAGCTCTGATAAAGCCAAATTTTATTTCCATCACCAAACAAACACACAGGCTTCAGAATGCACCCAAGCTCTGAGTGAGTCTCTGCAATTAGTGTTCTCCATTGTAACCCATGGAGTCCTGGTGTAGTGCTGTGGATTAATGCACCCGACTGCAAAGACATTTGAACTACAAGGTCAGCGGTTCAAGCTCACCAGTTGCTCCTCGGAAACCCTAAACAGGGTCGCTATGGGTCAGAACCGACTTGACGGCACTAACAATGACTGCAAACCATGGTGGTGGCAGCCAGTCATGTATTATGCCTTCCTCTATGCCTGTACATGCTATCCCTGATGTGGTAAACCAGGGAAGGGCAATGAATAGGAAATCTGAGGCCTGTAAAGAATTCAAAGCTTTTATTCAGGACTTTAATTTGCTCACAATGGGCAGCAATTGCACAAGCTTGGGGAGTAGGGTGAGGTAGCTTGGGGATTTCAATTCCCTGTGATTTAGCATGGTGATTCTTTATCCTTCCACAAGAAACAGGAGCTATGACATCCTCCTAACACTCGGGTGGTGTTAGAATCTATGGAGTTGATTTCAGCTGCTGGGGATCCCATGAGTAGATCTGTGCTCCATAGGATTTTCAAGGCCATGACCTTCCTTTAGGAAACAGATCACCAAGTCTGTCTTCCATGGTGCCTCTGGGTGGGTTCAACTGCCAGACTTTCACTTAGTAGCTGGGTGCATAACTGTGCCACCCAGAGACTAATGCAAAAGTAGGGGAAATGGACTTAACCCACTAATTTTGTTCCCTTACCTGCCTCATTTAGCCATTAAGATGAAGCAGCAAAAGTTATAGAGTATCTGTCTGAAGTCAACTGCTAAGCTTTATTAATTTTATTTCTCAAAGATTTCTCCAATCTATCCACCTCTACTGCTACCACCTCAGTCAAAGCCACCATCACTTCAGCCTAGACAAGGCTCCTTACTCGTTTCCCTGCTTCCATCCTGGCCTCCCTCAAGTGTATTCTCCAGACTGTACCTAGACTGAGCTTTTAGACATAGCACCACACCTTTCACTTTAACTGGTGACCGGTGTACAAATGCTCAGTAGCTAACAGACAGTTCAAAGAAACCTTTATTTTGTAAATGAGGAAATCCAAGGCCAAAAGAGTATGACAATCATGTGCGGAGATCAGAGACACCGGAGGTAAGAATCAGAGATTCATGATTGCAGACGGGCTCACTTCAAGGAGCCAGGTTGCTTCTCTGAGACACATAGCTCATTCTCACCAGATCAGCGGAAGGCAGATGAAAAGATTAGGGTCATCTAGAGCCACAGAATGGTAAGATGGACCACCAGGCCACAGAGAACCCACCTGAGCTGATAAACTGAGGGTCACTCACATGTGGATCCCTCCTGTCCTAGGACCCTCCTCCTCTAGCCAACCAGAGAACAGGGGCGGCACTCCAGATCCAGAACTACATGATCCACGTGGGGAGCGTAGGATTTCACAGGATGGATGTGCAGGATTTGGGTCTTCCAGGCTTTCCCGTGCACCTGCTGAAGAAGAGCGGCGACGCGAGTTTCTGCAGATACTGCCCACCTTAGCCACTCTGGTTTGGCAGAGCCTACCAGCATTTTTCTCCCAGAATCCCTAGTAGTTCTACTTCCCCCTTGGTTGATGGAAATTTGCTGAAGATAAGGCCACTGCTCTTCCTCCATCCCCTTGCTTCCGAGTGGCTGACAAGTCTTCCCTGGGAACAAGTCCACATTTTGGTGGATATGCAAAATTCCCCCAGCATCCCTTCGTAGCACTTGGCAGGCAACCAGCCAGCCTTCTTCAGAGCTGGGAATCAATCCCAGGTTCACTCTGTCTGCGACGTTGGAAAGCTTCAACTTCCTGTTATCCCCAAAGTGTATCTGGCACCGATCTGCTACTCCATTTATTTCAAGGTTTGTTCTCAGAGCAACTACAGCATGGGGGTTCCATTCACAGGCGTGAACGAAGGCCGCACCAGCATGCACCAGAAATGGCAATGTAAAATAGCCAATCCCTGCATAGAGATCCACCAGTACTTCCCCAGCGCAGGACAGCGATGCCACTCGCAGCTTCTCCGTGATGTTTCCGAAGGAGAACATACACTGGGTCACATCAAACTTGTAGCGGATTCCATTATCCACATGCTCTACCCAACCATGGTCGCCCAGCAGCAAAGTCACTGCTGGAGTTCGAGTCCCATCCGGAGATACCCGCCCTCGTCTGGCTAAGCGCTGGACACCAAGGGCCAAGGCAACTGTCTCCCAGAGTTTGGGTTCTAGATCTGTCCATTGCTTGGCTTGGAAGCAGTCCTCACTCAGCAACAAGAGGTTACCATGCCTTTGCCATGATCGGGGCAAGTCAGCCTCCAGCTCAGCAGATCACGTGACGCCCCGGCCTTCTACCCAGCGACGCACCTCAAGACACAGCCTTTGGGCAGGTGAACAACCCCGGGCCTTCTTGGAAGGTACAGGATGTAGGAGCTGCGTCAGTACACAGGTGCTACCTGGGGCCACGCGATTCCTCAGCTCCCGCAGGTGTTGCTCCGGGAGGGTCTCGCCTAGCACAGGGAGCGCCAAGGTGCCATCGGGCATTTTTTCCACACGATGCCTTCTATCCAAGAGCTGCTGCTTCTCGAGATAGTTCCTGTATCGCTGGATAAACCGAGCTTCGGTCACAACTGCGATAACAGCCCCGGGCTCCTCACCTTCCGGCTCCATGTTGCTAACATCCACATCCTCTCCGGTTCTCTCGGCCGGCTGGACGCCCCCTAGTCACAGAGGGCTCACCTCTCTCGTTACACCCACGGTAGCACCACCGGAGGGCAGGCCACTGTAGTGGCGCCGGACGTAACGTAAAACGAACCCGCCGGAATGGAATGAAACTGGCGCGGCTGGTACGAGCGGCGTCGCCGTTGCTATGGTGAAGCCTCTGCCGCCATCTTTATTGTGGTCGAACGTTGCTTGCTTCCGCCTGCTAGTCTCCGGAAATTAAAGAACCAAGGAATCCTATGGTATAAAAGACCTCAATTTAGTCGCTATTCTCCAGAACCCTTATGCACACTATTCAGTTATGCTCATGAATCCAAATAGAAAAGCGAACCTGAAATAATGGGGTAAATTGGAAGAAATGCTATTCTAGGTCAGCATCAGTAGCCACCGTATTTACTGAGAATGAAGGATCTGGAATAGCCACCTTATTCCCCTTCATAGTAGAGAGGTTGTTATTGTTTTTAAGTACCTTCCGTCGGTTCCGGCTCTTAGAGACCCTGCATAGGGTTTCTTAGCAGCTGCTGGTGAACCTGAACCACTGACCTTGCGGTTCAAACCTACCTTGCAGTCCAGCACATTAACTCGCAGTGCCACACCAGGATGTTCATCACCATTTCACTGTTCTAAGGTCCAGGAAGCAAGTGTTTGGAAGTGAAAATGATCTAAGTTAGGGTACACATCATATCATCTATTAGGACTGAATCATCACCTGTAAAATGGGAATTAACTTCCTCAGAGCTAGCCAAAAATAGAACTCAGAGAGCTATAATGTAACAAGTTGTATTTGTTAGATGACAGATATCTGTTGGAATTCTTTTAAATTTCTAATGAGGACAAAGGGAATTCCCTACCGATAAATTCAAATAATTGAAATTCAGAGTGGTTAAGAAGTCCCATTCTGTCTGCTTACCTACTATTATTCTGTAGATAAGGATACTGACACCTAGAGAGGTTAACCTTTATTAAAGTCCCCAATTTTTTCTTTCAGGTCCCTCTGTGTGGGTGGTACAAGAATATGAATAAGACTTGGGTTTCTTGACACCTCTCAGACTTGTTTTTCTTTTCCTTCCTCCTCTCCTGCCCAGTCTTTTCCTTAAGTTTAAGACTCAGATTTCACGGAGAAAGCAACCAACAGGGCTAGTGTAGAACACTCAAGTGTCCCCTGTACCCTCAGGACTCAGCATGCTCTTGTGTACCAGCCCAGTGGCTTCTAATGACAAGCACTTGGAACCATTTGCCTGATGGCTTTCTCTAAGCCACAAGAATTCACTTAGGCAATTTGACAGGTCAGAAATGTTGGGAAATTAATGCCCACCCTCAACCTCCAGATAGCAGCTCTCAACCAGTGACTCATGGAAGTTGTGAATAAATATCCCAGCTCCCACACTTTATTTGGAATAACTCGGGTATGTTTTATACAATCCCACAGAGCTCCCTAAGGACGTTAGTTTTTCAATAATTCCCTCTGTGTCCTACACTTTCAACTTCTCTTTCTCTCCTGTATCGTTCCCACCAGTATATAAACATGCTGCATTTGTTCCACTTTTCATAGCCTTCCCCTTGACCTTTTTTACCCCTAATGATACTCTTTTTTTCCCCTAATGATACTCTTAAGTTTATATCTCTCACCCAGACTTCCAGTCCAATATTCCAACTCTGATGCCATTTATGTCTTTGATATTTCAACTGATATCGAATGAGCAACACATGTTTATATCTAAAAACTGATTACCTTTCACCACATTCCTGTGTATCTAAGAAGATGTGGAACAAGGAATATCATTGCTGACATCAGATGGATCTTGACTGAAAGTAGAATACCACAAAGATGTTTACTTGTGATTTATTAGACTATGCAAAAGCTTTAGACTGTGTGGATCATGACAAACTATGGAAAACATTGTGAAGAATGGGTATTCCAGAATTTAATTGTGCTCATAAGGAACCCGTACACAGACCCAGAGTCAGTCATTCTAAGTGAATAAGGGGGCACTGAATGGTTAAATGAGGAAAGGTGTGCACCAGAGTTGTATCCTTTTACCATACTTATTCAAGCTATATGATGAGCAAATCTGAGAAACTGGATTATATGAAGAATAAAATGGTATCAGGATTGGAAGAAGACCCTTTAACAACCTGTGTTATGTAGATGATACAACCTTACTTGCTGAAAGTGAAGAGGACTTAAAAATACTCAGTGATGAAAATCAAAGGCCATAACCTTCAGTATGGAGTATACCTCAAAGTAAAGAAAACAAGTATCTTCACAACTGGACCAATAAATAACATCATTATATGTGAAGAAAAGATTGAAGTTGTCAAAGACTTCATTTTTCTTGGATCCACTATCAACATTCATGGAAACAACGGTCAGGAAATCAAGCGACATACTGTAGTAGGCAAATCTAATACACACCTCTTTAAAGTGTTCAAGAGCCAACAGATCAGTTTGAGGGCTAAGGTGTACCTGATCCAAGTCATGGTATTTTCAATAGCTTCATATGCTTCTGAAAGTTGGACAATGAATAGAAGAATTGATGCATTAGAAAAATATGTTAAATGTACCATGGATAGCTAGAACAACAAATAAATCTGTGTTGGAAGAAGTACAGCCAGAATGCTCCTTAGAAGCCAGGATGCAAAGACTTGGTCTCTAATACTTAAGACATGTTATCAGGAGAGCCCAGTCCCTGGAGAAGGACATCATGCTTGGCAAAGTCGAGCCTCAGCAGAAAAGAAGAAGACCCCCAATGAGTTGGACTGACACAGTGGCAGCAGCAATGGGCTCAAAATAACAATTGTGAGGATAGTGTATGAGCAGGCAGTATTTCATTCTGTTGTTCATAGAGTAACTCTGAGTTGAAACCAACTTGATGGCACCTAACAACAACACCAATAACAAATCCACCATCCACCTATATGCTCAAGCACATAGCTTGAAACGATCTCTCACCCCCTTCCCACTCTCTTTTCCTCAATTTCCTATAATCACCTACCCTGGGCTCCACCTCCAAAGTACACACTAACTTCACTCCTTCAGTCAGCTTCTAGCAAACTACAGCCAGCCCTTCGCTTGCCTCTCCACGAGCACTCTTAACCTCCTTTTTGATTCTCTACATATTAACCAGGATGAGAGTTTGAAAACGCATTTTCTAATCACAACCCTCTGCTACTGAAAGGTCCTTCCAGCCTACTCATTCATACTCATTGCTTTCCTTGATGTACCAGGCTGTGCATAATCTATGATCTGACTTCTAAAGCTCAACTTCACAACCTCTGTTACTGTTGTTGTTAAGTGCCATCTAGTCAGTTCTAACTCATAGTAACCCTGCATCAGGTTTCCACAGAGCCCCTGGTGAGCTTGAATTGCCGACCTTGCTGTTCAAACTACCCTTCACAGCACCATACCAGAACTCCTCACACGCCCCTCTAGGCCACGCCTAAAAGAGGCCCCACCTTTTTCGCTGTTTTCACTGCTTGAAATGCTCTCTCCCTAGATAGTGCAGTGGTTGGAGATTTGTCTGAAAATCTTCTCTGAGAGGCCTTCATTAACCATTCTCTCTAAATGTATCAATCCTTTCCCTTTTCTATTATTTCCCACTTTATTCCTTTTTATTTGTCTGCTTTGAATATCATATCCCCCAGTGGCAAATAATCTTCTCATGAACAGGGAATGTTCGTCTTCTGTTTACTGCTATATGCCTATTGTATAGTTCCTGACCCTAAGTCATTGCTCGGCAAATAGTTACTAAGAAAATGACTGCTTCAAGCATCACAAAACACAAATGTGCTTGTACTCAATTTCCAGGAGTGTAGAAATGGTCAGAAATTCAGATAAAGATTTCTAAAATGAAAATTGTCCTTGCTCTTTTATTTAAAACTCTGGTAGCGTAGTGGTTACGAATCGGGCTGCGAACCTAAGGGTCAGCGGTTCGAAACTACCAGCTGTTCCATGGGAGAAAGATGAGGCTTTCTACTCCCGTAAAGATTTACACCCTCGGAAACCCTGTACAGGGTCGCTATGGGTCAGAACCGACTCCACAGCACACAACAACAACAACAACAGAGGTGACTGGTTAAGTGAGTTATGGCGATCCTGTCAATTGAATGTTATACAACTATTGATATGACAATCACAAGAAATTTCAATGATACTAGAGATTATTTTAAACAGTATTAAATTGAAAACATATAATCATGTCTTGTTGTTGCTGTTAAGTTCCCTCGAGTCAGTTATGACTCATAGCGACCCTGTATAGGGTTTTAGAGAAGTAGCCGGTGGGTTTGAACCACAGACCTTGTGGTTCTCAGTCTTGTGCTGATTCTACAGCGCCACACCAGGAGTCCTTAGGTGATAGCATATTTTTATTAATGTATATAAGCAAGTTTATGAGGGTATTCTTTAGAATGTAGGCAATTTCCTATACACGGTACATTTATAGATGGCTCAAATATTCTTTTGTATACTTTTCAACATTTACAATGTGTATATAATGAGCAGGTGTTATTTTTTTTTATATATATATAGTAGAAAAGTCTATGGAAAAGCTATGATGCAGTAATGAAACTGTTCTAGGTCCCATACAAATGGAAATCCCCCTTAGTTAATCTTTTGCAGTGGGGGGTGGAAAAAGTCAGTGTACAAACTGTTCTTTCTCTAGGAAGTTGCCACCTGTTCTAGTCAGCCCAACACTTTGAATAATTCTAATAATGTAGTGCAGACTGCATATGTCTTCTTCTAAGTACCCCTGGCGTGATGGTATTCACATGTGGCTGGACCTTGAGTCTCAGCACTTTGACATTTACGCAATAATGTAGTTTGGCAGTTATCTGATGATGCGGTCTTCCCCTGTGATGTATCTGATGTGACCAGCTGGGTTGCCTTGAATTGACTTGATAAGGCTTTTCTGTGCAAAGTCTTAATTCCCATCAAGCCATTGGGTGGGGCCTTGCAAATAAGGCAA